TTAAGACAGATCATTATGAACTACTGACTAATACATAGTACATCTAAAAATGGAAAAGTTTGATAATAAATGATTACCCACTTGAACAAATCCAAAACCCTTGCAGTGACCTGACTCAAGGTCAAGAGGTAGTTGCACAAGCTCCACAGGACCAAATGCTTCAAAAATCTGATCAGAAAAGAAGTGATAGTCTGTTAGAGCTCATATCATGAAGATTCGAGGAAGGGCAAAACCGAAATGTGACCAATTCTAACATGTAAAAGAACCGATTTTAGTTGGCTTCCTTGTTTAAATATGTTTAACAGGGAGGTAATAACTCCCCCGGTCAGTTAAGTAATTTCTGTGTCATTGTTTATAACTGTATTTTGTGAAGACTAGGATGTTTGTTTGTATTTAGTCCGTTAACCTGACAGTAGCGGGGAGAGATTGATGACCCTCTCAAATTAGTCATTGGCAAGTTAGGTTGTGATTTCCTGTGAAATTTATCCAATAGAAAGGAGCTACCTATCGTAGTCAAAAAGATATAATGATATAATTATTTAAAAACCGTAGAAACCAACTTTAAATTCCCCGCCATGTCATCTACTATTCTTAGACTATTGATTTTACAGCAGGAAAATCATGTTCACTGCATACACATTTGCAAATGATATTGGCGCATAGATTTGTTTCTTGTTCAACGACAGTCTACCATTGTCACTTGTATGAAAATAACTGTACGAAAGGAAATCAAACGCAAATGTCTCAAGAAAAAACCGCATAAATTAATTGATTTTAGTACCTCTCTAAGGTGAGTCTCGGTCATGTTAAAATGTAGATTTCCAACATAAAGTTTCCTGTCTACCGCTCCATACGGCCCTGCACCAGACGCACCAGACGTATTTGATTGAACAAGATTCTTTTCAGCTTCTGAAGGTTTAACCATCACCGGTTGGCCAAGTAGTAGTTGACCAGAGATAGCAATAGCCATGGGCACAGACATCGCATCATAAAATTCAACATACCTGCAGTTTAATCAATGCCCCAAAGTAAACTTATTAGAGAATGAAACAACAAAACTAATAAACAAAACTTACAAAGCATAAGATAAACGAAATACACAAAGCAGAGACCTCTGAGTTTCTTCTGACTGGTTTAATAGTCAGGTTAGTTCATCAAATGAAGAGCCAACACAAAACCAAATAGCAGATGACCAGCTTAGACTAGGAGGAGGTGGGAGGAGATCGTATGGTGATTATTCATCAACCTTCCTAATCTTTTCAATGGTCATATTTGCACACACAAATTAAGCCCCAAAAAAATCATCATTGAGAATCATTACACACTAAGCACTATGGGGAAGTCAAGATGCCACAGAAGACCAAATTTCTCTTTACTTTGTATTATTTTAATACTAGACCCAAAAATAAACCCAAGCCAGAGCCTTTATGCATTTGTTCAAATAAAAAAAAAAAACTACGGAGTGATAATGATACACAATCAAGCATGTTCATTTTAATGAAGTGTCACAAATCAAGTCTGAAAGTTAATTTGAACCAAAAACATTTCATAATGCCAAGAAATGAATCTAAAACCAAGACCAGAGAACAGAGATAACAGAGTCATAGGAGTTAGGTCTGTTTCTTATCTGCACAAAAACATAGAGGAGCATAATTAGGAGTACGATGGGGAAAACAACAAAGAAAACCTCAGGTTTATGTTATCTACCTTGAACAAGTAGCATGAATTGATTAAACATGACTGCATTGTATTCCCACCATCCCTCATCATTATCGCATTGCTAGTTCATTTAAAAATACAGTTAAATTTGATACTTGAAAACTACTATGTTAATAACCATATTAACAAGATCACTAGCATGCAGTATAAAAATTGTTAATCCCAAGACCACATACCCAACTCCTTTTGACCGTCTAGAATTCCTGTCCATGATCAGTCGCACATCTCGAACCTGAAAATAGAAGGAACAACGAGAGCAGGTTATTTAGGAAGCCAGCAAGAAGAAGAGCAATAAAGATTTCCATTCTTTACACTTGAGGCAAAGCACCAGACCATCAATGAGATGACGACAGAACTCATATACATTTTCACTCACCCCATATAAACAGAATGTTGAGATAGAAGAAATTGATTATAGTTTCGAAACTGAAGGCAGAGGAACAGTAACTGCAATATGAAGCAAATCTATCTCAATATCTAAGCAATCATAACGTTTGTAGCAATAACATTGCAACAAAAATGTTATTGTAATACATGCTATAGATGTGAACATGTATGAGGGGCATGACACATGGAAATTACATAGATGAAAGTATGACTGCTATGACTGCTATGACTGCTAATACATATAATTGTTAACTTCCAGCAAAAGAAAAAATAAACACATACTTCTCTTCAATAATAAGTTTCAAATACCTTTCCGGCTTTTGAAAAGAATTCGTAAACATCTCTCTCGGTGGCCTTCAAAGGCATCTGTACAAAGAATACAGAGAAGAAAAAAAAAATATAAGCAAAATATAAACAGAAACATGAAAGGTAAGGAAAATAACCGTGGAAGACTATCAACCTGATAGGCAAATACAGTTCTTTGATCCCTCTCTGGATCAGCCTCAGGCTCCACCATGTCTTTCTTGTCCTTCATCCTCCTGCCATTCGCACACCCAAAACATCAGGGGGGGGAAATGAAGAACAATATAGTAATTCAACCAAGAAAATGTTAAGAAATTAAGAACCACTCAGGTTTCTTCTTCTCACTCTGTATTGTTATGGGACAGTGATTACACGAAAGCCAAATCTTTTATATTTCAATTTAAGCCTTCAAGATAAGACCATCACTGTATACCAGCGATTTAGCGAATAGAATGCACCAAGAAAAGAGAATGAATGATAAAAATAAAAAACGAACTTGGAGAACATTTTCTTAACTTTTATGATTCCATTTAACACTTTCATGAAGGATTTCTAGGATTACAACACCATGGTGGTTATCATTAGATGCTTATCAATTTCCTACCATTTCTGACATGAAAGTACAGTCGGGTTCCAAACTAATCCTAGACTTCTTGCAGTCAGCTTACTCCAAGTTTTCACAGAGCATCAACAAATAAGTAGCAACCGAGTGCTGAGTGCTTAATTTCAGAAGAGACTCTGGGGGTGAAAATTCAAAATTGGCTTGAGCTATATCCTTCTCTAGCGACAAAGACAGAATTTAAAAAAAAAATTAAAAATTAAAAATAAACCGAGTAGAATTCTTGGTTGCAAGATTTCAAATCTAATAGCAAATTTAACTTAAGAGCCTTAGATTGGAAAGCTAATGGCTTGTCGTAAAGGAATTTTTCTAGTCGAAGTTTTCCAGTTGATGTTGATCTACATTTGGGCCGTAGATTTGGAGCAGTGTTTGTTGCTCAGTGAAAGTGGTTTTCGTTGTCTTAGCCTGGCTTCTCATGTTGTTCTTTTCAGAGTTGCTAGACCATACTCAAGTTTTTAAATGTTTTGTTTATCTTTCGGCTGTTGTAATTTTTGAGAACTTTTCTTTCTTTTATTTATTGGATGATTGTTTCCCCTCCCATTGGGAGTTCGTATCCTTCAATTTCCTATCTTTTCATCTATCTTGGAAAAGCTCTGTTCTTTTTCAAGCACACTGCACTAGAATTTTCAAGAATAACCACGAGTAACAGGCGGCCATAACGTATGCAGGCAACACCCAACAGTCAACGGTAAACTTACAAGATCACAGTTTTAACAAATGATGCAGAAATGAACAATTACCTGTTTTCTCTGACATCAACTTCGCGTTCTCGCTCCCGAACAGACCGACTCCTGCTTCGCCGGGATCTTTCCTCTTCTCTCTCCCGCTCCCTCTTCTCCCTTTCTCTTCTTTCTCTCTCTTTCTCCTTCTCCCTCTCCCTCTCCTTGTCCTTCCTATCCCTCTCCCTCTCTCTGTCCTTCTCCTTATGCCTTTCCCTATCTCTCTCCTTATCCCTTCTATCCTTGTCTCTCTCCCTCTCTTTCTCCTTATGTCTGTCTCTATCTCTCTCCTCCCTATCTCTGTCTCTATCCCTTTCCTTCTCACTGCTACCCCTATCTCTCCCACGGTTCCTTTCTCTATCCCTCTCTTTTCCCCCATCCGTTTCTTCCTCTCTATCTCTCCGATGCCGATCCCTCCCTCGGCCCGACGGATCCCTATCCTCCTTCCCATTATCATGCTCACTTCTCGACCTCTTGACCTTCAGCTCCTCGTCCTCACGACCACCAGAGCCAGCTTCTTCGTCTACCTCTCTTTTCCTGGTGATTTTCTCGCTCCTCTCACTCTCGCCCTTCTTTGCCTTCTTCATCTCCTTATCATCCTGATCCTCCACAGCTTTCTCCAAGTAGTCGTACTCGTCGAAGTCCATCGAATCTTTAGAAATTCACCGGACCAACGAAGCGAAAGATCTCGCCGGAACTTGTGTTGGAAAACGCAATCAGCGGAGCTAGACGGGACGAAATTTCAATCAATTGAAAAATCTAGGGTTTTTTAAGGGGTTTCTGGGGGAGGAACTATTGGTTGGCTTGGAGCTCTCAATAATCCGCGAGTGAAGACTTAGGATTTATTTTTTATTCGGATGAAAATAATTAATTATGGTTGTTTCGAACAAATATTAATTATTATTATTATCGCTAGAGTAGGCTTTGCATTTTAAAAAATTAAATAAATAATTCACCCAACATATAAAATAATTTTTACTCTAAATTTGTATATTTGTTCATTAAAATTCATGTATAGTTTAATTTTATTAAAATTAGTTTTTTTTTTAGTTCTTCAATGGTTGTATGTTATATACTTTAATCTATAAAAATTATTTACGAACCAATATCATACTTGAAAACATGTCCACACCTAATGATTAGGAATATAAACACGAGCATAGTTTAAAAGAGTCTCAGTTGATCCACGCACAAAAGTTTTAGAATTTAGCTGATACGAGGGCAAGTGTTCACTGTTATTTTTAAATAAAATGATACAAATGGTATAAACGGGTACATTTCAAAACTTCAGAGTTCACATCTATACATTTTTAAAATAGAATTTTAATCGATACAAACTTCAAGATGTGTGTTTAGAAATAAATTGTAACATGAATAATGTTGACCTATTTAGTTCGAGAAGTGTAACAATAGTGACAAAGATTTCTATCATTCCTATGATTACGCTATAAACACACCCAATGGGTACCTAAATCTACAAACACATCAATAAATGTAGTAACAACTAATAAGAACACCACCATTTATGACAAACACTTGAATACAAAATGGTTGCCTTTGCATACAAGCCTTTCTTCGTCAAGTATAGCCAGCTTTCATACTCTTTATAGGGCAAGAAACTTCTCATATTACCAGGGATCTCTCATGTTCTTCATGCCACTACTTTAGTCTGTTCAAAGCTATTGTCTCGGCCTGTCTATCAACTCTCTCCAAAGGTGTAATAATTTGTGGCATTGTCATACCGCCAGAAACGATAATCTCTGCACAATTGCAAGAACATGAGATGAAAAAGATGAGTGGGATGAATTCATGATCTACTTTATGTCTAGCTGATGGTTTCTATCTCATTCCTCTCAATTCTTTTACTGAGGTTTTTAGGTGTAAATGCACAGGTGCAGATTCTAGAACCAAAATCCAAGTTATGTCTCACATTATAAGATTAAATGAACATGCAGTCCGATGCATCAAACTGAACTTCTGGGTGGAATAAACTTAATAGCATACCTTATGCACGGAAAGAGCTGTAAGAATTGTTATAAGAACAGACGAATGAACCTTTTTTAGTCGATAGGCCACAGCGAGCTTTGAACTAAAGAGAGATAACATACCTATGCCTTCCCGAATCGACAGGTTTGGTCTTATGATGTCCTTTGAACTAACAAGAAATATATCCCCAATGTATAGGTGATTTGTTGGCACGAAAACACTGCATAGCTCTTCATCTTCGCTCTCTCTCTGCAATGAAAATCAATTAGTAAATTATAAGATTACCAAAAACAGGGCAAAGAAACTGCGTAGAGTAAATTTTTGAAAGTTATGGAAAAAAGCATATAGTCAATGTTCCGTACAAATATAGATAACTGAAGCCAAAGTAACGTGTTAGATGAAACTTTCCCTCAGAGATTTCACAAATGACTCGAGATTTCTCAATGAAATCTACTTGAATTTGTCCAATTGCTTAAGAGATAGATGGAGAAAAGTACTATGCCAGGTTAAGCTTTTCAAAGAGAGTTCTGAAAATTTTGAGCAGAGGACAAAGCAGAAAAGATGGTCCTGAGACAGTCCATGTTGCATAAGCGGCATATGTTGATGATCTTTCCCATAAACTTTTTATCGCCCGTAATAGGTGTGACTTAAGTTATTTCTTCGTTCACCAGTCGAAATCTAGCGGTCTTCAAGGGGAACTCCACGTTTATTTGTAGTTTAATGGAACAGTACATATAGAGAATGCTCTAATCTGTGTACAGAACTTGGAGACCAGATAGGAAAGACAATCAAGTCTTCTAGGATGTGACTATCTATACCGCCAGGTTTCTTTCCAAAGTAAGTTATTGGAGGCTATCTCATTTTGTCTCAACAATATTTACCAGATTGCTTCCTCAATTTTCTTTGAGGTCTATAATGTCTGTAGAAATTAGTTTCCTGAAGTCCTAATGGGGGAAGGTATATGAACTAAAGATGTATTTCTCAACTAGTATTATTACAGAGAGGTTATAACTTAAATTTAAATTGTTAAACTGTAAAACAACCTATAGAAATGGAATGCGATCAGTCTTTGGAATGCCCGGTTTTTTCTTTATTCACTATAAGCATTGCTTGAAACATGAATCTGATAAACATGTGCCTTTTCAGAACCACATACACCAGAAAGCTAATAATCATTAGATGTTACAATTAGCCAGGGTTCATAAAAGTTTGTTTTCAGTTTTCTCCCCCTTAATTTTTTTTCCCCCTTTTTTTTGGCTCACTTCTCTCCCTTTAATTGAAAGGACAAAATGAGTCAAATCCAACATTCCACACAGAGAATTTGTGCATTCAGTTACGTGATTAGTTTTTACAGAAGAAATGCAGTTTATCAAAGGTTATGTACTAAAGAGTTGCTAGCAGATATGGTCTACATTGCATAGAAGATTATTACCTGGAGGGTAACAGTTGAAGTAATAAACCCAAATGCATATTCACCAATACGTGGATGACGAATAATTGCAACCTCTTTGAAAGCCGTGGTATTTTGATCTGCATGGGAGACTTATTTATATTAACTCGTAGTTGAATTTGAGACCACTATACACAAGATATTACTCATGGGACCGCAAATTGCCATTCAACATTACATGGTAACCAGAATATGAGTGCTTATACAAAATTACCAGGAGAAATTGCGGAACTAATTTGTTTGGAGGCAGAATATAGATGCCTGACAAAGGGCATTCGCTGAATGAACCATTCTCCAAGCCAGAAGAGTGTAGCACCCAACCATGATGAGACAAATATACCAACGAAGAATACAAAAAGTAAAGACGTTATGAACCCAAGTCCTGCATCAGAAAAACCTGCGTTAAGCGACGTTACCCGAAAATGATGAACTTATATGCATGGCAACGTTATGATGCATAGCATACTCCACAACCATAGGAGTTCTAGAAAGAAAATTTTCATTTACCTAAAACGTCTATAAATTACCTGTTAGTTGATTCTAGGTGCCATGCTTCCGCTAGAAGTAGACATAACTCATGAGAAAGCAAACTTTACTTAGACCTAGAATGTCAAGCTAGGACCAATTTATAGAAAGCTGACAAATATCAGACCTACCCATATCCTCCGTTGACATGGTGAGAACCAATATCCTTATACTTTCCTTTTTCAGCTCCTATTTATGCATGGACATAAGAATACAGCTTAACCTATTGCTCTGCCCAACCCAAGCAAAGCAGGAAATTTAAAGGGAAGATCTGAAAGAAAATTTTCTCAATGGTGGCTATAGTTTTTAGGACATCTATATGACAGTACAAGATGCTTATTTTCAAAAATCATTCTTCATATTTCTAGATGTCATATGTAGCCTCTCCAGGATTTCTTAGTTTCTCCTTTTGACATCCAAGTCTATTGAAGAGTTTTACGAAAGTGGCACAGCAGCACAAGCAGTGGAAGGGGAAGAAATAATCTATAACCCCATTAGTAACCATCAAATGTGAAAAAATTATCCTAAAATTGCAATGAGCAGTAGGAAGTGAGTGCTCAAGTATTCTAATGTTTGCGGCACAACTGCAAATAAATGCAAGTGATGAGCATCTTCAACTCATAATCTGAATAACTGTTGTTCATTTCTCTGCAGAATGCAACAACGTTCTAAAATTATTTGCACCGATGCCAACATGAGGTTTTCAATTATTTACGTCCAAATATGCATTTGTATACATAGAAGGAAGCCTTACCGAATATGTCAACTCCAAGCCGCTTATATAATGGACTGAAGAAACCATCAACAAATTGAATGAACCACCATGTAACAAAAAAGGAAACAGCAACGGGGAAAAGAACCACACTGCAGGATGAATAAGCAAACAAAATGTCAGAAATTATGATGTAGCAAGAGCCATAAGTGAAAGGTAATGGCCAGCCAAATTACCATCCAGTCATAAACTTCTTTGACACCCAGCTTTGGAGAACATAATAGCACGCCTGGAGAGGATATGGAGGGGGAATTAAAGGTCAGATTCAAATGAAAGAAAGAGGAATGTCTGGTATCCAAACAACGAACAAAATAATAACCACAATAATTAAGAGAAGAAGAAAAAGAAAGAACAAAATGAGAAGACATAACATGTTAAGCATTCAATATACGACTAAAAAAAGGGAAGGAATAGAATTTCCAACATATGGACCGAACGAGTATATCTTTAAACCCTATACTATGACATCAAGTACATGATCCCATTGAAAGTTGAGGTTTTCATCATAAAATCCTTTGATGTGTTTTTTACAAGTTTCCCACTTATGAGCCTTGTATGAAATTGGATACAGATGAAGAATAGCTGGTAATAGACTTGATAAGGGAGTGACAGAACATTCAACCTAAAGGAAGGTCTTTTAGATGGGATAGTAGCTCAACACAAACGATGCCATTAGAAGTGACTCAATATTTGCCTTTCATTCTACAGGAGATTAATTCTCCAGATTGAAGAACGAACAGTCCTCGAGAATTTTAGGCCTTCGACAAAAATTCTCGGCAACAAATTTGGACACCTTTTCATCGACTCAGTATACCAGTTTTCATATTTTGACCCAGCAAAATATTGGCAGAATCCAAAGCCGGTCAAATGCACCCACACCACAAATCTCATGGCCATTGTTCTACTAATTATTGCCTGCTGCTGACTTTTTTCTGCTAGACTGTACCATTACAGTCTGATTAATAACACAACCAATGTTATAATTAACAATAAGTCTATCATTGAGCTCTTTGAATCGAAAGAGATATAACCCAATTATGATCTTAAAAAACAATACTCAACCTAGTTAAGTCCAAATTACTTTTGAATGCCCACTTTGACGACTTCCTACGATGCATTATATTATCAGAAGTATGAACTCGATCATTCCCGATCATCCAATAAGCAACGATCCCTAAAACCCAACTCATCATCAAAGTTGATTCAGAATTTCCACATAATTACTTAAGTCGCTCTGCACACATTCGGAATTATCAAATCCTAATCCGAACTGATTCACCTCCGGCTCGAGCGTCAATAATTCAACATCCCTTAGACCAATCGGGGGCAAATATTAGAAGAAGATCGTCAACGAAAAATAGCCCCGGCCAAATGAATCGGAGCCATCTAACACCCAATCAAAAGAAAACAAAAATTAACGGCAGAGATTAAAGAGTAGGAATGAAATCCAGACCTTACGAGTGGACGAATTGGGAGAACTCGGAGGAGATTTGGATTTGACAGGATCTTCAAGATCCTGACCGCCATTATCAACTTGACTAAGAGGAACCGAGGTCGACTCCTTGTCTTCCGCCATAACTCTCTTAAAATCAGTTGAAATCTACTCAAATATCCGACAAATCAGTACCCAAACGTGAAAATAAAAAGCACACCCTCCGTAAGAAAAAAGATGAGGAACAATTACAATCTGAGTTCACAGTGGCTACATCAATGGTCATCGGCGTCCGATAAATAAAAGGGAATCAATCAGCGAGCAGTTGCACTATGAAAAAGATAATCACCAAAATGGGGTTAGTTGAAACCGCAAGCAAATGCCAGACGCATAACCACGTGATCAGGAGGGGTTTTGGACAAGGTGGAGTACAGAAAGAGCACCCGTCACCCTACCTTATCCTCGCAATAATCGCTTGCTGTTAATGGCGTCTCGATTACTCCAAAACTCCGCCGGTTCTCACTATGCTTACGCAGATGAACATGATCGGAGAAAACGGATAATTCTCTCCGCTCATCGTCGATAAACCTTCCAGTTCTAATTTACTCTAAATTTGTCTCTTGATTGTTTTTATGGGTACGGATAATGTATTTTTAAGCAATTCATAACATTTTCTTCACTAAGAACGACAAATATATTGTTACTTCTTGTTTTCACAAACAATAAATAAATAAATTTATACACTTACCAAAATTCGTTTTTTTTTTTCATAAACTAATTTATCGTTTTTTTTTGTTCATCAAATAATTTCAACTAACAAAATAATTATCAGGTTTGATTTGAAACCATTTAAAATTCATGGCATATTAAAACACGACAATATAACAATTCTAATTGAATTATTCGTCCTCGTCTAGATTAACTCGAAGAATATTAGACTATGGTTTGCAAATATAGTTTGGAAAATAATTTTATATTGTTTTCAAACTTCAAAACTCCGAGTTTTTTTTTTTTTTTTTTTAGAATTTGTAATATTTAAGGAATTTAATTGTAATATTTGAAGATCTTAATTGTAATAAATGAAAATTTAAACGTTTTAGACAGCATTTATGTTTGATATCTTTTGATTAAAAGAATAAAGTGACTATACCACTTGGACAATGTCATATTAATATGGACATGTGTGGGTCTAAGCTACCACGAGACTGTATGATTAAAAAAAATAAAGTCATGGTCACAAAAACTTGTACCTATCATATTATTGCAATCATATGTACCCAGTTGATAGTTTATTTTAGATGAGAATTTTGTTCATTTTATAATTATAATTAAAGATTCTATTTAATTTAAGATATATAGTCTCATTTAAATTATAAATTATAACAAAATAATTATACTGTTTAGCAAAAAGACACCAAACTCACTTTATATTGTAACGATCTGGATCCACTGCTAGCAAGCAGATATTGTTTTCTTTGAGCTTTCCCTCGAGCTTCCACTCAAATCTTTAAAACGCGTCTGTTAGAAGAAGGTTTCATACCCACCCCCTTATACATGGTGTTTTGTTCTCCTCCCCAACCAATGTGGGACATCACAGATTCATCGCTAGCAGATATTGTCTTCTTTGAGCTTTCCCTTTCGGGCTTCCACTCAAAGCTTTAAAACGCCTGTTAGGAGAAGGTTTCACACCCCTATACAGGGCATTCTGTTCTCCTCCCCAACCAATGTGGAACATTACAATTCACCCCTCTTTAGGGTCCAGCGTCCTCGCTGACACTCGTTCTTTTCTCCAATCGATGTGGGACCCCCTCGAAATCCACCATCTTTGGCCCCCAGTGTCCTTAATGACACACCGCCTCATATCTACCCCATTCGGAGAACAGCAAGAAGGCTGACACATCGTTCGGTGTCTGGCTCTGATACCATTTGTAACGACCTAGATCCACCGCGTGTATATATTGTTCTTTCTGGGCTTTCCTTTTCAGGCTTCGCCTCAAGGCTTTAAAACGCGTCTGTTAAGAAAATGTTTCACACTCATATACATGTTGTTTTATTCTCCTCCCCAACTAATGTGGGATATTATATATATATATATATATATATATAATATACATGTTTATTTACTTAATAAATAAATAAATAAATAAATAAAGTTAAAGCGTGAAAACTTATTCGGTAAGATTAAAATCATAATTTTTATAAATGAAATTTAATCTTTATTACATTTTTGGAATTTATGGAAAGAATTAATATATATTTCTAATTAAATAAATTTGGAAAAGTCTATCGATCCCTATGAAGTATTATTTGTAGAGGATTCTATCTCCAATGCAGACATGAAAATTAAAATAAGAGAGAAATTAGAGAAATAAAATGAACAATGTTTTCATTTTCTTCTCGATGGATGTGTCTGTTTTATTTGTTTGTTTTATCGAACGTTACATATTAAATGACATGCGTGGCCTTCCCTGTGGTCGTATTAAAAACAAAAAATGACAGTTGGGAAACGGTCAATTTAAGGGGGCGCGGTGGACGTAGAAACAACCGTAAAAATCGGGGGTGGTGGTCCACCACTTGTGCCCAAATTACAAAATTCCCGCCAAAACCCGCCCGCTGCCCGCTACCTTCTCTCGCACGCCCACCCTATCCAAAGCTTCTCCCGCAAGTCTCAATTTCCCCCCTTTCATTACGGCTTCCACACCAAGTTTTACATATTAAATTATTTTCTCAAATTACTTTTAAATTATAAATAAATTAATTCAAAATTATATATTTTATATTTATTAGAAGGTAAGTTATAAACATATTAGCCCCTCTAATTGATAAACTTACATAATTAATTTTATTAAATAAGAAAAAAAATATTAAGCTGTTACCGTCATTTAAATATAAATAAAAAGTACAATTATCCGATCATTATGGATTAAAATCTTGAGTCTAAATTTAATAGTAAACCTACGGTTAATTATAGATTTGAAATCAACAATATAAGATTTACTTTCCACTTGAATTTTATAATATAATTTTAAATCAATATTTGTTTTTTCTTCTTATTTTTGTACGTGTTCAACGATTATAAGTGTGAAAATTAAACTATTAATTTATAAAATAATAATTAATAAATTATCGACTAAAGTATATTAAGATTGCAATATGTTTATTTAATATGGTATAGAAAAATGTATATCTTTTTAAAATTATATGAAACTTTATATTTTGGAGTTTGGTCCAAAAGATTCGGATGCTCAAATACAAATGTCAAATCATTGTTTAAATAATTGTGATTAAATAAAACAAAAGAGAATTATATTATAAAAGTAATACAATTAATAATATAACTTAATTAGGAAACAAATAGCATCTATTTAATTTATTTGCAAAAATAGCATATACGATTTAAAATTTCATACCAAGTTAGGTTTTACATGAAAAAAATATATAAAAATATATGATGATATAATTAAAATTTCATAAAGAAAGAGATATCTAAATTAGCATAGCATATTAATAATATTAATAATATAGTTCCATAAATAAATCAATTTAAAATTTTATTTATTTACTTTGTGATTTATAATTATTTGAAATTATATTAATTACGTGGGACCCATATAGCTATCTTCTGAGTCCTCTGTGCCCGCCACCAAGATCATTACAAAGTAACAAAAGAAAAATCAAGAATCCCACCGATTTTTTCCCCGCTAAAAGAAGAAAATCCAATGGTTTGCGCGGGAAAATTTCGAACTTTCTGAAATTCCCACCTCCAAAATTCGTAAATTTCCTTTTGTTTCTCTCTCTCTGCTAATCCCAATTCTCTATATAACCCAGTTGTTCTCTCACCCATGTTTCTGCACAGAACCTGTTCGACGAAATTCCTTGGTTAGTTTCTTCTTCTAAAGATGTACGTGGTGAAGCGAGATGGGCGTCAAGAGGCAGTGCACTTCGACAAGATCACTGCCCGTTTGAAGAAGCTTAGTTATGGCCTTAGTAGTGACCACTGTGATCCAGTTTTGGTGTCCCAGAAGGTCTGTGCTGGCGTTTACAAGGGCGTTACTACTAGCCAACTCGATGAATTGGCCGCCGAAACTGCCGCTGCTATGACCGCCAACCATCCGGACTATGCATCCGTGAGTTCTCGCTATTTTCTCCATCTATTTCGCAATCCGGGGCCGTCGATTTTGCAACTTCTGATTTCGTTAAGATTGTTGTTGTCGATCTTGATTTTCCGAACTAACCTTTTGGATTCTTCTGTTAATTTTTCAACCCTAACTGGATTTTGTCTCATCGGGTTACTTTCACTTTCTCAATTTGTTTTTATGTTGTTTAGGGGTTCATAGGGCATCCGAGTCAATTGACGTATGGTTGTAGATTTATACGTATTACATGTCTGGCTTCTTGTTGGATAGTAGTTTATTGATGGACATATATATCTGGTGGTTGTTTGCCAATGAGTATGATTTGACTCGCTAATTACTTTGCTTGTTTGTTTAACCCAGTTGGCTGCAAGAATTGCTGTTTCGAATTTGCACAAGAACACAAAAAAGTCATTTTCAGAAACGTAAGTTTGGCATGTGCTGGTACTCTGGATGATTCATTTCCAGCATCGAATTGCAGTGGTTAATTAACTTGAATCTGATTTTTATTTTTATTTTTTTTAATTTTTATCTGTTATGGTGTTCAGTATCAGAGATATGTACAACCATGTCAGTGAAAGATCAGGACAAAAGGCTTCTCTCATTGCTGACGATGTTTATGAAGTAATCATGAAGGTAATCCTTTATTCTTTCTTTAATATTATGTGCCTTTGGTGATGCATACCTCTACAATGAAATTTGTGTAGGGGATTTATTGATTGGACATGGCCTTTTGTTTATTCAATCATGCTTGATTAATTAGAATTTAGATGCCTGTAAGTGGTTTGGCTAGCCCACATGTTTGTGATCGTACTACCTTCTCTTGGAATCAGATGACTGCTTATTTAATGGATCGTTCTTCCTTTTGTTGTTCATTTCCAGAATGCTGCTCGTTTGGATAGTGAGATCATATACGACCGTGACTTTGATTATGATTTCTTTGGTTTCAAAACTCTGGAAAGATCATACCTCTTGAAAGTTCAGGGGAAGGTGGTGGAAAGGCCACAACACATGTTAATGAGGGTTGCTGTTGGTATTCACAAGGATGATGTTGATTCTGCTATCAAAACATACCACACTATGTCTCAACGCTGGTTTACTCATGCTTCTCCCACCCTATTCAACTCTGGAACACCAAGACCCCAAGTATGTTTTGAGTTAATTGATATCTGTTTTTAATAACGATGATCGTGGTTGATATATTTTGTTGATTAGAAAATTTGGCCTTTTGGGCATGAATCTCATGGGGTTTCTCATTGACGTGACAGCTTAGCAGCTGTTTCCTTATATGCATGAAGGATGATAGTATAGAAGGCATATATGATACCTTAAAAGAGTGTGCTGTTATTAGCAAATCGGCTGGCGGCATTGGTGTTTCCATCCACAATATTCGCGCTATGGGCAGTTATATTCGTGGAACAAATGGCACCTCTAATGGGATTGTGCCTATGCTGCGGGTTTTCAATGATACTGCTCGATATGTTGATCAAGGAGGAGGCAAGAGGAAAGGTAGTGTGCAGATTGGGTTCCATTGAGTTTCATATGATTAATCTTTGTTTGCATTCTCACGTTTTAACTGCCACTTGCAGGTGCATTTGCTGTATACTTGGAGCCATGGCATGCAGATGTATTTGAGTTTTTGGATCTTAGAAAGAACCATGGAAAGGTAATTACTTTCTGCTGATATATTTTGGGAACTTAATGCGACATTCTATTCAGTTCATTCTATAATGAATCTCCAAATGTTATATATTTAGGAGGAGCATCGAGCTCGAGATCTTTTTTATGCTCTTTGGGTACCTGATCTGTTCATGGAAAGAGTCCAAAGTAATGGAGAATGGTCATTGTTTTGTCCGAATGAAGCCCCAGGTTTGGCTGATTGCTGGGGTGAAGAATTTGAGAAACTATACGTTAGATATGAACAACAGGTAAATAAAATTCAATTATCGATACCTGCAACTATATAGGCAACTTTTGTTTACTCTTGTATTGATTGTGATCTGTAGGGAAAGGCCAAGAAGGTTGTCAAGGCACAGAATCTTTGGTTTGAAATCTTAAAATCTCAGATTGAGACTGGAACCCCTTACATGCTATTTAAGGATACCTGTAACAGGAAAAGCAACCAGCAGAACCTTGGAACCATTAAATCCTCTAATTTATGTACAGAGATTATTGAATATACAAGCCCAACAGAGACGGCTGTGTGTAATCTTTCTTCAATTGCTCTACCTCGTTTTGTCAGAGAGAAGGTGGGCTATACCAAAATCCTGTTGTCTTCTGGATCATAACTTAACCTCTTAATTTACTCCATACTGTTTTTAAAACTGCAGGGTGTTCCAATGGAATCTCACCCATGTAAGCTTGTTGGCAGTAGAAGTTTCAAAAATCGATACTTCGATTTTGACAAATTAGCTGAGGTACTATTTCTTAATTTACTTGTAATGATGTGTATTCTTTTTTCCTAATCTAATGACTTGGTTGTTCATTCTTTGTGTACTTAGATAACTGGTCTAGTGACAACAAATCTGAACAAGATAATTGATGTTAATTACTATCCCGTTGAGACTGCCAAAAGGTCTAATCTTAGACACAGACCTATTGGTATTGGAGTTCAAGGTCTTGCGGATACTTTCATTCTATTGGGCATGCCATTTGATTCACCCGAGGTAATTCAGGCTTTTATCTCTGCCTTCTGTTCTTAGCCTCTTACATACAACTAAACTTGTTCTTATGGTAACGAATGGCAGGCTCAACAATTGAACAAAGATATATTTGAGGCCATATACTACAATGCTCTTAAAGCTTCTTGTGAGATTGCTGCGGTGGAAGGCCCCTATGAAACGTATGCTGGCAGCCCTGTTAGTAAGGTGTGTACCGGCAAAATATTGGACTTCTAATCTTATAAATGCTATGTTGATTTACACATTTTCTTATATGGGCAATATATTTTCAGGGAGTTCTTCAGCCTGACATGTGGGGCGTAACTCCTTCAAAGCGATGGGATTGGGATGCTCTCAGAGAACAAATATCAAAACATGGGGTTAGAAATTCACTTCTTGTGGCCCCAATGCCAACTGCTTCTACCAGCCAGATTCTTGGAAACAACGAGTGCTTTGAACCATACACTTCTAACATCTACAGCCGCAGAGTTCTAAGGTCTTCATTTCAGTTTGAATTTCTAGAGCCATTTGTATTAATAATATATGTGGATTCTAAAATCTTTCTTTCCATCCCCCAGTGGTGAATTTGTTGTTGTGAACAAGCATCTCCTGCATGACTTAACGGAGATGGGTTTGTGGTCTCCTGCACTGAAGAACAAGATCATCTATGAGAATGGCTCTGTTCAAAAGATTCAAGAAATCCCTGATGATCTTAGAGCTATTTACAAGTATGATTGATCTTCCTTGCATTTCCCTTTCCTTGCCCTTGATGTTGATTTGTCCTTCTGATCTGTTCTTAATATGTTGAACTCAGAACTGTCTGGGAGATCAAGCAAAAGACATTGGTTGACATGGCTGTCGATCGAGGATGCTACATCGACCAAAGTCAGAGTCTCAACATTCACATAGACCAACCAAATTTTGGAAAACTCACTTCCTTGCACTTCTATGCTTGGTCAAAGGTACATATCATTGTCAAACTGAAATACTGCCATAGTTGCATTCATCTTAACAATATTGATTCAATTTTTTTGTTTGCTATGTATGAAGGGATTGAAAACAGGAATGTATTATCTACGAACACGAGCTGCAGCCGATGCCATCAAATTTACGGTCGATACATCAATGCTAAAGGAGGTACGGTATAATATAATGGAAACTGTTGGATTCAGGCACTGGCTTAGCTACAACATTACATAATAATGAAATTCCATTGCTGGGTTTGTGCAGGAAAAAGGTAAGGAGGAAGATGAGAGTACAAAAATGGCACAGATGGTTTGTTCTCTAACAAATCGTGAGGAGTGCATGGCCTGTGGAAGTTAGACATGGATTTGAAGCTCCTGCTCGGAAAAGGAATGATTCAACTTCCTTATTTTAACTGAAAATGAAATGTTTGGGTAGCTAATAGTATAAATGTAAAATCTCTGTACAGTTTTTTTTCAATAATCATAATTATTTGTTGGGTATTAATTGGATTTGTGGATGCCAAAGACATCCTTAGACGGTGGAAATGATCTTATATTGTTCGTTTTAGCCTATTATATATTGTTATTATTCCTACCATTTTGAAATGCATCTTTTAGCATCTTTTCCTGCAAGTTAGATGGTCGAAATGATCTTTCTTGAGATTTCCCTTTTAAGCTTTCCCATTATACTTATATTATGGAGAGGATTAGTCCTATTTCGACTAGTACTTTGCACCATTTTGGTGATTGGCTGTGATGTCCTACATTGGTTGGAGAGGAGATCAAATCACACATTATAAGGGTGTGGAAACTTTCCTTAGCACACGTGTTTTAAAGCCTCGAGGGGAAGTTTGAAAGGGAAAGCTAAAAGGACAAATGGTATCAAAGCCAGACACCGGACGATGTGTCAGCCTTCCTGATGTTTCTCGAAGGGGGGTAGACATGAGACGGTGTGCCAGTAAGGACGCTGTCCCCCAAAGGAGGGTGGATTTGGTGGTGGTCTTACATGGATTGGAGAAAGGAACGAGTGCCAGCAAGGATGTTGGGCCTCGAAGGGGTAGATTGTGATGTCCCACATTGGTTGGGGAGGAGGACAAATCACCCTTTATAAGGGTGTGGAAACCTTCTCGTAACAGACGCGTTTTAAAGCCCGAAAAGAAAAGCCAAAGAGGACAATATAGGCTAGCGGTGGATCTAGGCTGTTACATTGGCTCTAGTATCATTTGGAATATCTTAATACCACAGATGCGTTTTAAAGCCCGAAAGGAAAAGCTAAAAAGGACAAAGGACAATATAGGCTAGCGGTGGATATAGGCTGTTATATTGGCTCTGGTATCATTTGGAATATCTTAATACCACATACGCGTTTTAAAGCTCGAAAGGAAAAGCCAAAGAGGACAATATAGATATAGGCTAGCGGTGGATCTAGGTTGTTACATTGGCTTTGGTATCATTTGGAACATCTTAATACCATGAGTAGAAAATATTGTCTAATTTGGCTCTAAAAAAAAAAAAATATATATATATATATATAAATTTAACTTTTAAAGCATATAATTAGTCTTTTATTTACAAATATTAACACGACAACTCATGTTTAGTTGAAACCTTTGGTCTCTTAAGTGTAAAAAAAAGTCTTATTTTTCCCTTAAAAAGGGTTATTTGATGGATTAAGTAGCGGGAAAACCAATCCCACGGCCACGGCCGTCAGCCATTGGCCATCACTCCCCGCCGTTTTCACCCTCGACCCCTTCTTTCTCACGAAACATGTTATCCACAGACGGGTTTAGAGGCCCCCTCCCTATCCTTCTCTCTGTCTAACTAGATGGTACCCGTCAATTCACTTCTATAGTAGCTACAGCTATGGCGGCAGCGAGCGTTTGGGTTCGACCCACCTCCAGTTTTCGACCATCCTTCCCAACGTCAAAAGTAAGTTCTCTTTGTTTCCTATAACAAATAAGATATGCATTTGATTCTGTTTCACTTGTAACCTTTGGCTCTCTGGGCGCAGTACATTGATTGGGTTAGTAAAAGCTATAATTTAGTTCGTGTCAATGCTGTTGGTGCCACAAATTCTCATGCATTTGATGAGTTTTCACTCCATATGGAACAAGCTAAATCAAAGAGCATTCAGCTGATGAATTTCATGGAACAACGTGGAATTCGTGCCAACTATCAGACCTATCTTTGGCTGCTAGATGGGTGCTTGAATTTTGGGTCCTTGCTTGAAACTTCGAGGCTCCATTGCAGGATTTTGAAGTCGGGTTTTGCTGTTGAACCTTTATTAATCGATAGTCTTCTTGATAATTATCTTCGTCATGGGGATCTAAATGGCGCGCAGAAGGTGTTTGATGATAATCCCAACAGAACTGTTTTCTCTTGGAATAAAATGATTCATGGCTTGGTTGCGCAGAAGTTGAATTCCCAGTTGTTTGGTCTCTTCCGACGAATGTTAGCTGAAAAGATTACTCCCAATGAAAATACTTTTGCTGGGATTTTGAAGGCATGTGTTGGTTGCAACATTGCGTTCAACTATGTAGAACAGGTACATTCTAGGATAATCTATTATGGTTTTGATAGTAATTCACTTGTTGCTAATCTTTTGATTGATTTGTATTCTAAGAATGGGTTCATAGAATCAGCTAAAAAAGTATTCAATGACATATATTCGAAGGATATTGTTACTTGGGTAGCTATGATCTCAGGTTTATCTCAAAATGGGCTTGAAGAAGAGGCCATTCTCCTTTTCTGTGATATGCATGCATCAGAAATCTTTCCCACTCCTTATGTATTGTCAAGTGTGTTAAGTGCTTCTACCAAAAAAAAGTTATTTAAATTGGGAGAGCAGCTTCACTGTCTAGTTATTAAGTGGGGATTTCATTCTGAAACATATGTATGCAATGCTCTTGTGGCATTGTACTCCCGGTCTGGGAAATTGATATCTGCCGAGCGGATATTCAGCACGATGCAATTTAGGGATGGCGTTTCGTATAATTCACTTATATCTGGCATAGTTCAGCAAGGATTTAGTGATAAGGCATTGGAGTTGTTTAACAAAATGCAACGAGATTGCTTGAAACTAGACTGTATTACGGTTGCTAGTCTGTTGAGTGCTTGTGCATCAATTGGGGCTCTTCATAAGGGAATGCAGCTACATTCATATGCAATAAAAGCTGGAATGTCTGCAGATATTATTCTTGAAGGTTCTCTTCTTGATCTTTATTCGAAGTGCGCCGATGTGGAGACTGCACGTAAATTTTTCCTTACTACAGAGACAGAAAATATAGTGTTGTGGAATGTGATGCTAGTTGCTTATGGACAATTGGATAATCTTAGTGATTCATTCAAAATATTTAGACAAATGCAGATTGAAGGTATGATACCCAATCAGTTCACCTACCCAAGTATTTTGAAAACTTGTACATCCTTGGGAGCCTTGGATTTAGGAGAGCAAATTCATACCCTTGTTATAAAGACAGGGTTTTGGTTGAATGCCTATGTTTGTAGTGTGCTCATAGATATGTATGCCAAACATGGAAAATTAGAACTCGCCCATGGGATCCTAAGACGACTACCAGAGGACGATGTCGTCTCCTGGACAGCTATGATTGCTGGTTATGTGCAGCATGATATGTTTTCTGAAGCACTTCAACTTTTTAATGAAATGGAGTATCTTGGAATAGTATCCGACAATATTGGATTTTCTAGTGCTATTAGCGCTTGTGCGGGTATCCGGGCACTCCATCAAGGCCAACAAATTCACGCTCAGGCATATGTGTCGGGATTTGGAGACGATCTTTCAATTAACAATGCTCTGATTAGTCTGTATGCCAGATGTGGTAGAATTCAGGAAGCATGCTTAGCATTTGAAAAAATGGATGATAAAAACAATATCTCTTGGAATTCATTGGTTTCAGGATTTGAACAGAGTGGATACTTTGAAGAAGCTTTGCAGGTATTTGTTCAAATGTTAAGGAGTGAAGTAGAAGTCAATCTGTTCACGTATGGGTCTGCAATTAGCGCTGCAGCCAGTCTTGCAAACATAAAACAAGGGCAACAAATCCATGCCATGATTTTGAAAACGGCATACGATTCTGAAATGGAAGCTTCTAATTCGTTGATAACATTTTATGCGAAATGTGGCAGCATAGATGATGCGTGGAGAGAATTTAACGACATGTCCGAAAAAAATGTGATTTCTTGGAATGCCATGATTACTGGCTATTCCCAGCATGGTTTCGGTATGGAAACACTTCGTCTTTTTGAAGAGATGAAGAACTGTGGGGTCGTGCCAAACCATGTTACTTTCGTGGGAGTTTTGTCGTCGTGTAGCCATGTCGGTCTTGTGAATGAAGGTCTTGATTACTTCGAATCCATGTCGAAAGTGCATGGTTTAGTTCCCAAATCTGAACATTATGTGTGTATAGTGGATCTCCTAGGTCGGGCCGGTCTTTTGAACCGTGCAATCGACTTCATAGAAGCGATGCCCATCCCTGCAGATGCAATGATATGGAGAACTCTTTTAAGTGCTTGTGTCATCCACAAGAATATGGAAATAGGAGAGCGTGCTGCACGCCATCTCCTAGAATTGGAACCTGAAGACTCAGCAACCTATGTCCTACTGTCAAATATTTATGCAGTGTCTAGAAAATGGATTCGTAGGGATTGGTCAAGGAAATTGATGAAGGACAGGGGAGTAAAGAAAGAGCCTGGTCGTAGTTGGATCGAAGTTAAGAACGCAGTTCATGCGTTCTTTGCTGGGGATAAGCTCCATCCGCTTACGAATCAGATTTACGAGTATATAAAACATCTGAATAGACGAACATCCAAACTTGGATACGTGCAAGATAGCTTTAGCCTTTTGAATGATTCAGAGGAAGGCAAGAAGGATCCAACCATGAATGTTCACAGTGAGAAATTAGCAATTGCTTTTGGACTACTGAACTTGGGCAATAATATTCCCATACGGGTAATGAAGAACCTCCGCGTTTGTAATGATTGCCATAATTGGATTAAATACGTTTCAAAGGTTTCAAACCGATTGATCATAGTGAGGGATGCCCATCGCTTCCATCATTTTGATGGTGGTGTCTGCTCATGTAGAGATTTTTGGTAACTCCTTCGGCTCTCAAACTTATTGATGTCAACAAATAGCACATATTTGTGTATAACCATGGGCATACCTTCGAAGAATCGTCTCGGTTTTTGTCCCGAGACGCTCGCCTTCAGAAATTGATCAGAAAAGGCTGAGACGTTCAGGATTTAGTTGAATGAAGAACTGGATCCTGTCATACAAGTTTGGACGGGAAAATCTTATGGCAGATGATAATTTGCTTCTATAGAAGGAGTTGAAATCTTCTGGTAAGACCTCGTGAATTGTGTTTGTTTCAATTCAACCGATAATATGCAAATGTTCTATGTTTCAATCTGGATGTTTCCTTTTTCTTCTTAAATTTCACCGATTTCAGATTCTGGATCGGCAAAATGGGTCACAAATATAGGTCTCAGCAACTCAATTGCTCCAATTGAAGTCGGGAATTCTTAACCAAATGAACTGGATCAAGATGACCATACTGTTCTCCATTGAGGTAAACATTGATTCACTCGAATAATACGAAGTTCATTAGATCAATGCTTCATGTTTTCAGTGATGAAGAGGAATCATTATCTCCAATTTTTTAGGCCATTCTCTAGGTGGTTGGACAATGTTTACTGATCATTAACCATAGTATGATGCAAAACTCCTGCATAAATTGGTTTGTTGGTTCGGTTTCGCAGGATTCGAGCTAGACCATCTTGACATAATTCAACTAGTTAAATTATATATCCTCCACCTTAAAGTCAAAAGTTCACTTTTTTTGATTGTAGAGGTCGACGAGGGTGTGGTATTGAACCACCCCTCTCCTATATTCAAGTATTAATTGAGTCGATAACAAGCGACTGAGGTAATAGTTGCGTGTTTAGAATGTGCCTTTCCATCTACTGACTCATTGTACTTATAGGGTGGGTTCATAAATTATGGTCGTAATAAAGTGTTATAATCTTGTTGTGATTCTCGTGGTGTGTTAAGTATAAGGAGGGATTGCAAGGATGAATTACTACTTGGTCAAACCATTTTTCAAATAGATATTGGTTGATCGTGGTCAAAGCTCAAACTAAAGCCTTCTTGACCATCGATTGACCTTGGTGGGAACGGTCATACTACCCTTAGTCGACCCTTATGGGTCAGCCGCTAGGGTCGTGGGCGATCCTCTAAAGGTCAACTCGAGTAGAATTATCAATCCAAATGTTAGAGCCCAGCAATAGAAGTGCAGCATTTTAGATAATCTTATTAAAAAAATTACGTTTATTTCGTAGAATTTGTATAAAAAATTGTCTTATATTTTATATGTTATTTTCATAGAACATATTAATTTTATATTAGTTTGAGATTTTTATAAAATATTTAATGTTTTCAACCATTTTAGATAATCTTATTAATATTTAATGTATTTTGAATGTAGAGTTAGTAATTGTCTTAAGAAGCTACAAATAAATAATTCAAATATACAAGAAATGAAATTAATTAAACAAAGTAAAATAAAATGAATATTGGGCTTTAATTTCAATTGAAAAAAAAAAATTGCTATAAAATTCAATTTAAATAAAGTTTAGTTTACATCTAAATGTAAACTATAAATAGTTAATTGGACAGTATCATTTATTAATGTGTAAACATATTAATTAAATTTCAAATAATAATAATAAAAAGTAAATAAATAAAATTAATTAAAGACTAAAATTTTATGAAATTTCTTAAAAAGATTCTATACCCTCGAGAGTGAAGCTATTTATTTTTCTTGCGTCCATCTCGAGAGTGAAGTTACACTAAAAAAAGATTTAAAATTGATATCTTCTTCTATGTTCTCGCGCTCCCAGCTCTCGTGTTTTAGATTTTAATATGTTATACTGTTAGTTTCAAATTTTTCTTTTTGCGCACTTTTAATCTCTTACGTCATCAGATTATTGGGAATGAGTTCTACATTGGTTAATTTAATAGAAGATCATGAGTTTATAAATGAGGAATACTATCTCTCGCTCGGAGAAGTTCAAAACAAAGCCAAGAGAACTTATACTCAAAGTAGACAATAATAGAGAGTCGTGATTTCGGAGAGTCACAACATAATTTGTAATTTTAATAAAAATGTTTATTTAACATTAATTTATATTACTTATATGCTTATTATCAAAACTATTTATTTTTGTAATACTTTAATAATCATGATATGGTCGTAAATTGAATATTTACCATTGTTTAAAAATTATAAATAATTCTAAAAAAAATCATATAAATTCCACTCCACAAGATTCACAACTTCATAAAAAAAAAAAAAAAAAAAAAAAAAAA